CTGTCTGCCACTAGGTTCAACAGTGTATATATATTTGATTTTCTCTTTCTGACTTACTTCACTCTGTATGACAGTCTCTACATCCAACTACCTCACTACAAATAACTCAATTTTGTTTCTTCTTATGGCTGGGTAATATTCCATTGTGTATATGTGCCACATCTTCTTTATCCATTCATCTGTCGATAGACACTTAGATTGCTTCCATGTCCTGGCTATTGTAAATAGAGCTGCAATGAACATTATGGTACATGACTCTTTCAGAATTATGGTTTTCTCAGGGTATATGCCCAGTAGTGGGATTGCTGGGTCATATGGTAGTTCTATTTTTAGTTGTCTAAGGAACCTCCATACTGTTCTCCATAGTGGCTGTATCAATTTACACTCCCACCAACAGTGCAAGAGGGTTCCCTTTTCTCCACACCCTCTCCAGCACTTATAGTTTCTAGATTTTTTGATAATGGCCATTCTGACTGGTGTAAGGTGATGCCTCACTGTAGATTTGATTTGCATTTCTCTAATAATTAGTGAATTTGAACATCTTTTCATGTGCTTCCTGGCCATCTGTATATCTTCTTTGGAGAAATGTCTTTTTAGGTCTTTTGCCCATTTTGTGATGGGCTGGTTTTTGCTTTGATATTGACTTCTATGAGCTGTATGTATATTTTGGAGATTATTCTTTTGTCCATTGTTTCATTTGCAAATATTTCCCCCCAATTCTGAGCATTTCTCTAATGATTAGTGATGTTGAGCAACCTTTAATCTGTTTGTTGGCAATCTGTACATCTTCTTTGGAGAAACGTCTATTTAGGTCTTCTGCCCATTTTTGGATTGGGTTTTTTTTTTTTTTTATTGAGCTGCATGAGCTGCTTGTATATTTTGGAGATTAATCCACTGTCAGTTGCTTCACTTACAAATATTTTCTCCCATTCTGAGGGTTGTCTTTTCACCTTGTTTATAGTTTCCTTTGCTGTGCAAAAGCTTTTAAGTTTAATTAGGTCCCATTTGTTTATTTTTGTTTTTATTTTCATTACTCTAGGAGGTGGGTCAAAAAAGATCATGCTGTGGTTTATGTCAAAGAGTATTTTTCCTATGTTTCCCCTAAGAGTTTTATAGTTTCTGGTCTTAACATTTAGCTCTTTAATCCATCTGAGTTTATTTTTGTGTATGGTGTTAGAGAGTGTTCTAAATTCATTCTTTTACATGTAGCTGTCCAGTTTTCCTAGAAACACTTATCGAAGAGGCTACCTTTTCTCCATTGTATGTTTTTTCCCCCTTTGTCGTAAATTAGGTGACCATAGGTGCGTGGGTTTATCTCTGGGCATTCTATCCTGAACCACTGATCTATATTTCTGTTTTTGTGCCAGTACCACACTGTCTTGATTACTGTAGCTTTGTAGTATAGTTTGAAGTTGTGGAGCCTGATTCCTTCAGCTCCATTTTTCTTTGTGAAGAATGCTTTGGCTATTTGGTGTCTTTTGTGTTTCCATACAAACTGTAAAATTTTTGTTCTAATTCCATGAAAAATGCCATTGGTAGTTTGATAGGGATTGCATTGAATCTGTAGATTACTTTGGATAGTATAGTCATTTTCACAATTCTGATTCTTCCAATACAAAACATGGTATATCTTTCCATCTGTTTGTGTCATCTTTGATTTCTTTCATCAGTGTTTTATAGTTTTCTGAGTACAAAAGACTTTTGCCTCCTTAGGTAAGTTTATCCCTAGGTATTTTGTTCTTTTTGTTGCAATGGTAAATGGATTGTTTCCTTCATTTCTCTTTCTGTTATTTCATTTTAGTGTATAGGAATACCAGATATTTCTGTGTATTAATTTTGTATCCTGCTAGTTTATCAAATTCATTGATTAGCTCTAGTAGTTTTCTGGTGGCATCTTTAGGATTTTCTATGTATACTATCATGTCATCTGCAAACAGTGACAGTTTTACTTCCTCTTTTCCAATCTGTATTCCTTTTCCTTTTCTTCTCTGATTGCTGTGGCTAGGACTTCCAAAACTATGTTGAATAAGAGTGGTGAAAGGGGACATCCTTGTCTTTTTCCTGGTCTTACTGGAAATGCTGTCAGTTTTTCACCATTGAGTATGATGTTTGCTGTGGGTTTGTCCTATATGGCCTTTATTATGTTGAGGTAGGTTCCCTCTATGCCCACTTTCTGGAGAATTTTTATAATAAAAGGTGTTGAATTTTGTCAAAAGCTTTTTCTGTATCGATTGAGATGATCATATGGTTTTTATTCCTTAATTTGTTAATATGGTATATCACGTTGCTTTATTTGTATATATTGAAGAACCCTTGCATTCCTGGAGTAAATCCCACTTGATCATGGAGTATGAACCCTTTAATATGTTGCTGTATTCTGTTTACTAGTATCTTGTTTAGGATTTTTGCATCTATATTCATGAGTGATATTGGTCTATAATTTTCATTTTTGTGATATCTTTTCTTGGTTTTGGTATCAGCGTGATGGTTGCTTTGTAGACTGAATTTGGGAGTGTTCCTTCCCCTGTAATTTTTTGGAAGAGTTTGAGAAGGATCAGTGTTAGCTCTTCTCTAAATGTTTGATATAATTCACCTGTGATGCCATCTGGTCCTGGACTTTTGTTTTTTGGAAGATTTTTAATTACAGTTTCAATTTCATTACTTGTGATAGGTCTGTTTATATTTTTTAATTCTTCCTGGTTCAGTCTTGGAAAATTGTACATTTCCAAGAATTTGTGCATTTCTTTGTGGTTGTCCATTTTATTGGCATATAGTTGTTTGCAGTAGTCTCTTATAATCCTTTGTATTTCTGTGGTGTCAGATGTGATTTCTCCTATTTTCATTTCTAAATTTATTGATTTCTCTCTCTTTTTCTCTTGATGAGTCTGGCTAAGGGTTTATCAATTTTGTTTATCTTCTCAAAGAACCAGCTTTTAGTTTTTTGATCTTTGCTATTGTTTTCTTTGTTTCTATTTCATTTATTTCTGCTCTGATCTTTATGATTTCTTTCCTTTTACTGACTTTGGGTTTTCTTTGTTCTTTTTTCTCTTGTTGCTTTAGGTGTAGTGTTAGATTGTTTATTTTATTTATTTTCTTCTTTCTTTAAGGGAGATTGAAATGCTATAAACTTCCTTCTTACAACTGCTTTTGCTGCACCCCAAGGTTTTGGGTTGTCATGTTCTCATTTGTCATTTGTTTCTATGTATTTTAAAATTTCTTCTTTGATTTCTTCAGTGATCTCTTGGTTATTGAGTAGTGTGCTGTTTAGCCTCCATGTTTTTGTGCTTTTTATAGTTTTTTTCATGTAATTGATTTCCAATCTCATACCATGTGGTCAGAAAAGATGCTTAATATGATTTCAATTCTCTTAAATTTTCCGAGGCTTTATTTATGACCCAGGATGTGATCTCTCCTGGAGACTGGTCCGTTTGCACTTGAGAAGAAAGTGTAATCTGCTGTTTTCAAATGGAATGTCCTGTAAGTATCAATTAAATCTATCTGGTGCACTCTGTCATTTAAAATTTGTGTTTCCTTAGTTATTTTCTGTTTGGATGATCTGTCTATTGGTGTAAGTGTGGTGTTAAATTCCCCTACTATTATTGTGTTACTGTCGATTTCTCCTTTCATGGTTGTTAGCATTTGCCTTATGTACTGAGGTGCTCCTATGTTGGGTACATAAACATTTATACTTGTTATATCTTCCTCTTGGATTGATCCCTTGATCATTATGTAGTGTCCTTCCTTATCTCTTGTAACAGTCTTTATTTTAAAGTTTGTTTTATCTGATACTAGTATTGCTACTCCAGCTTTTTTTTTGATTTCCATTTGCATGGAATCTCTTTTTCTATCCCTTCACTTTCAATCTGTATGTATCCTTAGATCTGAAGTGGGTCTCTTGTAGAGAGCATTTATGTGGGTCTTGTTTTTGTAACCACTCAGGCAGTCTGTGTCTTTTGGGTGGGGCATTTAATCCATTTACATTCAAGGTAGTTATTGATATGTATGTTCATATTACCATTTTCATAATTGTTTTGCGTTTTTTTGTGGGTCTTTTCTTCTCTTGTGTTTCCTGCCTAGAGAAGTTTCTTTAGCATTTGTTGTAAAGCTGATTTGGTGGTGCTGCATTCTCTTAGCTTTTGCTTGTCTGTAAAGGTTTTAATTTCTCCATCGAATCTGAATGAGATCCTTTCTGGGTAGAGTAATCTTGGTTGTAGGTTTTTCTCTTTCATCTCTTTAATTATTTCCTGCTACTCCCTTCTGGCCTGCAGATTTTTGCTGAAAAATCACCTGATAACCTTATAGAGATTGCTTTGTATGTTATTTTTTTGCTTCTCTCTTGATGCTTTTAATATTTTTTCTTTGAATTTAATTTTTGTTAGTTTGATTAATATGTGTCTTTGTGTGTTTCTCCTAAGGTTTATCCTGTATAGGACTCTCTGTCCTTCCTGGACTTGGGTGACTATTTTCTTTCCCATGTTAGGGAAGTTTTTGACTATAATCTCTTCAAATATTTTCTTACACCCTTTCTTTTTCTATTCTTATGAGACCCCTATAAGTTGAATGTTGGTGTCTTAATGTTGTCCCAGTGGTCTCCGAGATTATCTTCTATTCTTTTCATTCTTTTTATTTATTCTACTCCTCAGCAGTTTTTCCACCATTCTGTCTTCCAGCTCACTTATTTGTTCTTTTGCCTCAGTTAATCTTTATTGATTCCATCTAGTGTATTTTTCATTTCAGTTATTGTGTTGTTCATCTCTGTTTGTTTGTTCTTTAGTTCTTCTAGGTCTTCGTTAAATATTTGTAGTATCTCGATTCATGCCTCCATTCTATTTCCAAGATTCTGGATCATCTTTATTATCATTACTCTGAATTGTTTTTCTTGCCTATTTCCTCTTCATTTATTTGGTCTTGTAGGTCTTTATCTTGCTCCTTCCTCTGTGACATATTTTTTTTTGCTGTCTCTCTCTTTTTTTTTTTTTTTTTTTTTTTTTTTTTTTTTTTTTTTTTTTTTTTATGAGTGAGATTGTGTTCCTGTCTTACTGGTTGTTTGGCCTGAGGCTTCCAGCACTGGAGTTTGTAGGCTGTTGAATAGAGCTGTGTCTTGGGCCGAGATGAGGACCTCTAGGAGAACTCACTCTGATGAATATATACTGGGGTCTGAGTTTCTCTATTATTCCAGTGATTCAGACTCATAACTCCCACTTCAGGAGCTTTGGCCCAACCCCCAACTCATGAACCAAAATCCTGCAAGCCACATGTGGTGGCCAAAAAAAAAGAGAGAACAATAACAAAGTAAAAAACAAAATTAGACTAGGAAACTAACAGACATGTTAGAAAGAATATTAATAATATAGATGAAACAACAACTGGAAGGTAAAATAGAACCATAATAGTAAAATAGAGGAGGAGAAAAAAAGAAGTGGAAAAGATGTTGGCTGTGAGGGGCATGGCCTAAGCATGGGCAGGGTTTAGGCAGTGGGTAGGTCTTCTGCATAAGACCCACAGTGTTGGAAAAGGCTCTGGAGGTGTGGGAGGTGGTGCTTAGGCTCGATGGAACAGAGGGGCCCAGGTGTGTCCCCCACCTCTGGTCTCAGAGGGCAGGGGACCCCACCTGGGAGCCCAGCAGGCTTCCTTGGCTTTAGTGGGTGGGGCAAACACCCTCCTCTCCTCTCCTGCTTCCCCTGTCCTGAAGGACCCCTCCCACCTGCCTCTCCTGTTCTCCACTGGCCTCCCTCTTATGCCCCCAGGGCCAACACAGCCCAGAGGGAGCCTCTGATGGTGTAGGACCTAGCCTGAGAACTGGGCAGACTTCCCTGAGTGATTAGGCAGGAGACACACTGGGCACGTTTCTCCCTGATCTGAGTACCCAAGGGTCCCTTCAGGTGTGGGAAACCCTCCTCCCATTCAGCCACCCTTCAGGGACGCTGGTCCTGTCTGGCCTCCACTTCTTCTCCCCCTTCTGCCCCCCTGCTTCCTACCAGTTCGCTTGGGGGTTTCTTCTGTCTCCTTGTGCATTGAGGTCTTTCACCAGTGGCTGGCAGGTGCTCTAATTGTGAGGAGATGCAAACTCCACCTTTTCCCACACCACCATCTTGACTCCACCCCCCATAATGTTTAAATGAGATGCATAAACAGAGATGTTAGCACAGTCATTGGAACAGAGTAAGTTTTTTTTTTTTCAGAGTCTTTTTTAACAAATGTTTGTCCTGCCACGAAGAATGCTGCATGATGACTAAAGTGTCCAATAAACATAGTGTTTTAATAATTGCCATGTCTTAATCCTTAAACTATGATCATCAAGGGCTTGAGCTAAGATGATAATTTCAGTCCATTTCAAGCTTCCTTTTGAGACCTGCAATGGTCTATTGAGACAATCATTCTGGTCTGTTTAGAGCCATAAATCATTTTGTACAAGAAACCAGCTGTACTTCACCAAAATGGTAATCACCATTGAACTTTACCAAATTGAGGCAAAGTACCCACTGAATACTTCTTACCAGACAGTTTTCAGCATGAGCTGGATAAGTCATATCACAATTTACCTTTCAATAATCTTGACAAGCATTGATTGTTCCAAATTGCAGTTTATCATGGTAACATTTCAGTAATTCTGACAGGCAGTGGTGAAATAGTTTTTGAGCAGTAGGAATTTCCTGGTGGCTCTGAAATCATGCCCTGTACATGCTGTAGGGACTGCTGAAGAGTTGAAGCTGACTTCCTTTGCGTCTCTCAGGGCTGCAGTTCTTAGATGGAAATAGTTTGAGGTTTACAAAACATGACACAGCTAAAAGAGGTCAGATTTGCAAACAAGTTCTTGAAAACTGAGTTTACATGAGGGTCTTATTATTTTAACCATGATACCCCTTTACAAAAGTTGGGCAGTGAATGTTATTTCCAGTGAATGCTTCACTATTGCTCCTCCTCCAAGCATTCTTTGTCCTACTAAATGTATGATACCTCTAAAGCCCATTTAGTAATAGGAAAGCTGCTTGACATTCTAAGCAGCTTTTTGAAATTGCTTAGAAATTTGGCAAAAGAGAGTGAATAGTTTGGAGGAAGAGAGTGAATAGTTTGGAGGAATATTCACTCTTGCTATGGAGAGATCAAGTGAATCTTTTCTAGGGACTGTGTCTCAAGCTCTTCAAAAAGCATATACATTCCAGATTCTTTGCATATCTTTTTCGTTTTTGTTGTTTTTAATTGAAATATTGTTGATTTACAATGTTGTGTTAATTTCTGCTGTATAGTAAAGTGATTCAGTTATACATATATATACATTCTTTTTTCATTTCTTTTCCATTATGGTTTATCATAGGATATTGAATATAGTTCCCTGTGCTATACAGTAGGAACTTGTTTATCCATTCTCTATATAATAGATTCTGGATTCTGATTTTCCAACCCTCCATTTTAAAAACTGGTGCCCCAGTCAAAGTTAATTTTTACTTCTGGGGGTTCTCCTAGTCTAAGTTCTATTAAAGACCATGCCCTCCTCTGATTATACATTCCAGGAAGTGTCAGTTTCATGAGTAGATTTAAATAACTGTCCCTCACTTAGAAAGGATCAAGGTAAGGGACACCATATTTATACCCATCAAGCTTTGACTTATCAAGCTTGATTCATTGAAGCAGTCATTTCCAGTTCCTCTTGAAACTGCATTGTATATAAAGCACAACATTTTAAATAGTAACTTGGGATAGCTTCTGGGGACTGATGGAAGTTAGGAGGGATCTAAAGTCACACCTAGAAAGAGCATGGTCCTCCTTACTCACACTTGTAGGAGGCATTAAGTCTGAGAGTGCTTCCTGATTAGCAAAGCTTACATGGAGTAAGGGTGGGTCCCTAGGAAGCACTGTTTATATTAACAGCTGGCATTTAATCTGGATCCAGACTTTTCCATGTGCCTACTCCCACATCAGTTATCTAGGAGAACAGATGGGAACTGAAGGCTGAGACACAAACTGCTTATAAAAATGAAACCCTTCAAGAATAACCCTTAAACATACATCCCTAGCACCAAAGGAAAGAAGTGGGTTCACAAATTTTTGAGGGAGGAAGGTGATATAAATTAATTGGAAACTGTTGTGAAAGTATTTTACAGTAGAGGACTTTAAATGAATAAAACTTGAGACTTGTGTACATTTTCAGAAAAAAAAATCCTAAATGGGTGGTTTGAAAATAATAGATAAATATCTTATTTTACCCTATCTCCCTTTTGAGACACCTGGAGGTTGGAAAAAAATTTCACTTTCTCCCTTTCTCCTTGGCTGATGTGTTGACTGAGCAAAAAATACACAATGTGAGAGTTGTGAGTTAAGTTTTATTGGGGAAAACCGAGGACTATAGCACAGGAGACAGCATTTCAGATAGCTCTGAGAAACTTCACAGAAGAGGTAGGGGGGAAGGTCAGTATAAGTGATTTTGGTGAAGGGGGAGGACATGCAATCAAGCACACTTTTTTTCAGAAGGTTTCTGCTAGTCACGAGGAGCAGATGTCACCATTAATGATTTTAGTGCTTTTCTAGATATGAGAAGATGCAAGAATTGGGCTGATAAAATCTTCTCCTGAAAATATCTAACTCCTCATGACTAGCAGTGAGCCTCTGCCAAAATGTGTGCTTGGCTGCATGTCCCCCTTCACTAAAATCTCATATAACACTGACCTTCCCCTTGTTGACAAAAAATTAATCATTCAGTGTAAGAAAGAATTGGAAAATTTTATTTGAGCCAAATTTGAGGATTATAACACAGGAAGAGCATCCCAGAAAGCTCTGAGAACTGATCCACCCATTACAAGTCAAGACACAGTTTATATAAATTTTCTGAGACAGAAGGCTGTACATTAAATAATGTACTATTGACAGTTTACACAATCCAGATTTAACTGCAATTGTAGTGGGTCCTGTGACCCTTTATAAGATCGAGGAGGAGTGCTATCGTTTAAGGAGTTGTCTTGTTGATGCTGGGAGAATGTTGCTGTTTAGGGTTGGGCAGGTATTTCTGCTGATGGGGGAGGTTTGGTCAATGCATAATGGGGATACAAAATGCACAGTGCTGGGGGAGTGGAGGACAAAGGGCAGAGAAGAATTTTTACGTTTAAATTTTTCTTGTCTTTCCATATAGTGTGAGTTTTATTTCACACCCCATACTTCTTGGGAGCAGTTCCTCAGAGCTATCTGAGATGCTGTTTTCCAAGCTATAGTAAACATTTTGCCCTCAATAAAACTTAACTCACAATTCTCATGTTGTGTTTTTTTTTTCTTTTCTTTTTTCAGTCAACAACTACTGTAGTCCAAACAGCACAGGAGCCACACTGACCCTCAGCTTCTGCTGGTGTCAAGCAGTGGAATGGGGCAGCACCAGAGACCCATAAAGCCCTGCAATGGAGGATTCATTTTTAGTTCAGACTCTAATTAGAACACGACCTTTCCAATATGAATCCCTTCTCATTTCTCCTGCATGGGGTGACAAAAGAAGTGTATCAGTACCTACTCTGATAACTAACATCTGTTATTACAGATGCAAAATGATTTACATGTGATAAACTCCATTCATAGTCACAAAGGCACCATGAAGAAGGCATCATTTTTATTCTTGCCGTTGTACATATGAGGAAGCTAAGGTTTTGAAAGCTTAAGTAAATTAATAGGTGACCTGGCTTAAAGCAAGAAAACCACAATATTTTGCATCCACATTTTGGGTTACCAAGCGAAGCTGAAATGGAGCAGCACCCTGTGGTCTTCCCCCAGCCCCATGTCCTCCGCCTGCATTTTGCCAGTGAAAAAACTTTAGCCAAAGAATAAGTTTAATCGGAGAAGTGAGAAAATGCAGAAACAAAGGAAAACAGTACAACAAGACTAAAAAATAATAGTTTAGTCATTAAGCAAAGTTAAAGACCTTTAGTTCCTCTTCATGGGCTATAGATACTGTTCTGAGCTTTATCCTTTGAGCTATCTTATACAGACTAAACTCCCCACCAGGTAGAAGAAGTTAACTACATGATGCCCAAACTGTAGCCATGACATAAGCTGCCACAATTCTGAGAACTGGCCTCAAGGAAATGGGAACAAACTGACCCTGGAACTGAAGATTAACTGTACCTAAAACAATCAAGATGACCCTGGTCAGACCACTGCATGACCGATTTCAAGGTGACTGTCAGAGCTGACTGTGCTGTTTCTGCATGTAGTCCCCTCCCTCCTTCTATAAAAGCTCTTGTCCACTGATTGTCAGTGGGGTGGAGCCGGCCTTTGGACAGAAGTCCACACACTTCCCACCACCCCCCAGTTGCCAGCATCCAAAATAAAGCAAACTTTCCCTTCCCCAACCTTGCCTCTTTATTAGCTATTGAGTGGTGAGCAGCCGGACTCCACTTTCGGTTACAAAACAAGCTGATGGCTTTTTAAGACCCAGTAAAAGACCTTACATCCTTGGCATTCAGGTGTGAGAGGAATTCAGATGGAGGACTGTCTAGAATAGGCAAAGAAGTGGACATTCCAGTAAATACACAGTACGTCTTGGGTACTTGGACAGGACACTGATTGAAAACACTCAATACTCTTAATATGAGTTGCATACAATTATGTGGAAAACATATCTTCATTCTAGAGTGTGGGAGCTACAAAGCTTATTATGTTATTTATGATACCCTACATTTAGTGAGGGGTAGAAACCTTTAGGATGTGCTCTACATCAATCCATGATCTGGGCGAACATGATTCAAGAGATAGTAGAGCACAGTGATTGAGTGTAGGCTCTGGGAATAAATCAGCTGTTACTACCAAATGTAAAATAGCTAGTGGGAAGCAACCACATAGCACAGGGAGATCAGCTTGCTGCTTGTGACCACCTAGAGGGGTGTGATAGGGAGGGTGGGAGGGGACTCAAGAGGGAGGAGATATGGGGATATATATATATGTATAGCTGATTCACTTTGTTATAAAGCAGAAACTAGCACACAATTGTAAAACAATGAAACTCCAATAAAGATGTTAAATAAAATAAATAAATATAATAAATAAATAAATCAGCTGTTTGATTTTTGGCAAATTAATCTCTCTACATCCCCGTTTCCTCAACTGTCAAGTAAGGACAACAGTATCTACCTTTTTAAGATGGTTGTGAGCATGCTATGAGTTGATACATATAAAACCATTGAAACAGTGGCTGGCATGGACGAAGCATAACAAACCCAGCTATTGTTATGGTCAATGATTTAGGTGCCCATAATGAATAAGTAATACTCTCCTGCCCGCTTCAAAGAAATATGTCTTAATCAATTCATTGCTATCGATACCACATTGTACACTAGCTCTTTAAGGACACGTTCTTGACAGCCAAAACTTTCAGGTAACTTAGACCCTGGGCTCTAGAGACTGATGCCACATGATTTCACACCTTAGGTACTTGCCTCATCTAAATCAAATATGTTTGGGGGAGGGAGACTACCTCTGTTTTAATATCTTCAGATGCTTTCTACGTATTGGGAAGAGGATTTCCAGCTATGACATAGTCTGGCTTCAGAAACTCTGCTCAGACTGAAGGTACCAAAATGAAGAAGGATCTATTGAATAAGGATACAATGTATTGACTTGGAAAGATACATCTATGGCTTCCAAGCATGGTGTTTGATGAAAATCTTAGTCCCTTTCAACCATAGTTTCCCCCTCCAAATATTTAGAGTTTGTATGTATGTCTTCAACTCTGAAACAGACACATGTGTGCTTACACACATACACACCTTCCCAATATTGAGTTAATATTTTCCTAAAAATGAATGTTCAACTTCAATAGTCCCATCATTCAATATAAATCAAGAACCTTCTGGAGAGTATACAATACTAGATATCTTTTGGACTAAACCATGAAAAAATTCAAGCCCTCCTTTATGAGATAAAATGATTAAACTTACATTTATTATGGTTCAATTGACATAAATGCAACCCAAGAGCATGGCAGAAATAGTAAATTAACATATAAAACCAGATAGAGAGTAAACTGGAAATCAATGGGGAGCTAAAGGCAACCAACAGAAAGGGAATTATCTTGTCAAATGGGCATGTTTGAAAAACAGAAATAAAATATGTAATGAGGGCATATTGAAGTCCATCATAAGATCAGGAGGCAGTATTTGCCCTGTTCTATCATGTAACCCAAATTGAAGCAAAATGATTAGCTTAGCTGAGATTTAAGTAGTTTACAACAGAATAAAACAAACATATCCACTTACAGCTGTAATTCAAAATTCTCCCTTTGCCAGGAGAATGAGGCTTGACTTATACCAAAATGACACAAGAAGTATACTGATTTTATTCCTTTTATAACAAGTATAGCTCCCTGGGGCAGGGCTGGCTAGTGAAAATTCATGTAAGCTGATATATTTTGAGTGCTTATTTGCAAAGTATTAATAATACATCAGGAAGACAAAGGAATACTCCAAATAATAAACTCTAACAGCCTTGAATCAACATTGTAATGCAGCTCTTTCCTCAGTCCAGTTCACACCACAGTTTTCTCTTACTGAATTTTCTTTTCCTTATTCGTAATGAACTTCTGATGGAGAAGGACTTTCTTCAAGAGTCTGGATTATATTTCAAAACTTGAGATGTTTTTGTGTGAGCATCAAGAGACCACAGACGAAGTCATCTTATTTTTTTCTGTTCTCAGAAATTTTTGGTCTTTTAGGAGATTGATTTGTTAATCAAATGATATGGAGATTTGCAAAGAAAATGAGAAAAGGCAGAAAACTAGATCTAAAATGACCCTATCACCAGAAATAAACATTTTGAGGAAGCTATGGGGCATTTTATATGCAGATGAACATCTTTTTTTTTAAGGGAATATTTTTAAAACACAGCTGCCTTATGGATGGTAAAAATGCCTATGTAGTATGCACCTAAGAAAATATTTGCAGAACATTGCATGATGGTTAACCATGGGAGTTTTTTTCACCACGACTCCTAGTTTCAAATCACAGCTCCAAGTTGGTTGATATTTCTGTGTCTGTTGCCTCAGATATAAAGCAAGAATATGTATTTTATAGTTGTGTTTTGCTTTGCAAATTGTATGTATCCACTACATTTTGGATATTGTTATCATTGTGTGCTTTCATTTTGCTGTTATTTTTATTAGTACTAGGATGGCTTATTATCACGTTCAAACTGAAATGATCTGTTAGTGTTCTGCCTGAATAGTTCCAGCATCTGTATAGAATAATGTATTCATCAAAAGGAGAGGAATCAGTAAGAGTTGAACCAACTAGTTGCTATATTTTCTACAACATCTTAAAACATGTCAGAGTGGAGAGAAACTTTGAAGACAAGCCTGAATAAGAACACTGAATTTTCTATAACCAATTCTGTGACATCAGAAAAGTTGTTCTACTTCTCTTGGGATAAAAAATGCAGACAAAAAATAGTAATACAGATCAATATATCCATTTGAGTTATGAGAGTTGGTGAGAAAAGTCTATAGAGACCCACTGAAGCATCATAGTCATAGTTTCCTTAATTAGCCTCAGTCTGGACTAAACTTAGTGAAGTCTAAGTGATTCTTAGAAGGGGTTTTCAGGTTCTTCATTCTCTCTCTCTCTCTCTCTCTCTCTCTCAATTCTAGGAGTATTCTGTGCTTTTCTCCTTTTAGTAACCCAACTCTGTGCAGAACAGAGTGACAAACAGTAAGCTTGCCTAATACCTGATCATGAATTCTGTCTAGCTCCATGAAAACACTTTTTACTGTGTATTCAATTATCTATTTACACATTTTGTATCCTCATCTAGAATTTGATATACACTTCTGCACAAAATCTGTGGTGATTAACACAGTGACAGCTACACAGTGAAAAATTCCATACATACATATATTTATTGAAAAAATAATAGTGATTAATCCTACTAACATCTGAGGGGAAAAAAAAACTCCCCACAGTGATTATTGCGACATGATGTATTAGTAACTGACATATTAATTCTAGCTTATGGTATAACATAAATGATTCCAGTAGCCATATCTGTTTCCATGAACAGTTGTAGTCAAATACACGTGAAACATTTGTTAAATTCTGAGCTCTCTAGTAGGTTGAAAACTCAAAATAGTCTCGTTACTGAATAAGCAGATGGCAGTAGTTTGCTAGGATAGAGACAATCTATCATGGTAAAAAATAAAAATAGAATATGCAATTATCAAATCTCTCCTTGTTTAGATTAAAAGCCTGAATGAAGTAGGTAACATGTGAGACACCCATGAGTTTCTTAGATTATTAAAGCAAACAATAGAAGCCTCATTCTCAAGTTCTTAAACACACTCATGAAAATACCCACTAATGATCTTTGGCACTGCGGGTCCAATTATTTGATTTGTTTCTGTTTTTATTTTTAATTTTCTTCCTTCATAAGACTGTAACTCAGTAGGGAAAAAAGAGGGTGTGCTTTGGAAGTAATTTTCATTAACTTTTAAAACACTTTATCAAATGGAAAGGAAAACCTACATAATTAACCCCTTGTAGGAGCAGCTTGGGCTTTGGTCACATAAAATTGGTTTCCAATAGAGATTCCACCACTTTATAGCTGCCAGACATTGGGCTTATTGAACAGCATCCCTTTCTCACTCTACTACAGTGTTTAATGTAGAACAGAGGGGAAGCACATAAACTTTGGATTAGCATAGACTAGAATGTGAAGACTGTTTGACTTGTGACTTGGGAAAAGGATGCATTCTGTGGAGCTACTGCTGTAAATGGAGACAAGGAATCCGGTAGGGCTGTTTTGAGCAGAGAGTAAAATGTAGGAGCACAGGGAATGGTCCACAGAGCTTACACCATGCATGCCAACACATTCACTGCCATCCTCAGCCTCTCACTTCCCTCCCCTCCTCCACCCTACCTATAGCATCCCCAGAGTGAGTGTTCAATCAAAGGGGGAAAAACAATACATGTAAATGTCCACCCCACACTCATGGGTTCTTCTGCTCTCCTGCTCTGGGAGAAGATCACTGGTGGGTAATTGCTCTGTCTGTGTCTAGAGGTGAGATAGCCATCTGCACAGAGATCTTTTTGTGAAGGAACATCTAACTTTGAAAACAACTACAGAAACAAGAAGATGCATGTTTCTTTGAAGAGAGCTTTGTGTTCACAGCCACAGCCTCACAAACACTCACACAGACTTTGGAAAGAGGACAGCTAAGCTAGCACACAAAAAAAAGGTAATGTGGATGGCAGAAATGTCTGAATAAACAAATGAAGAAAGAAGGAGTCAATAGAAAAAGCAGGATCTGCAGACTTGAGGCTTTACATTCTCCCTACCGCCTCAAAGGGCCCTCAAAGCCCTCTTTAACTTCTTCTAGTCATACTGACTACAGATGCTCTTGTGAATCCCATTAACTTCAACACTGAGGCTGCATAGTGAAATCAACAGTCTACCACCAAGCTGTCCTAACTTTCTTTGTGTTATTTCCATCTTTAAGTGTCTTCTCTGAAAACTTCCTTCCTCTGTATTATTGTTATTATAAAATAATCTGCACCTGAGATATTTCCTCGAGGAGAATCCTACCATTCAGCACCAAAAATCAGTATTCAGGAAGAAAGAAATAATTGTCTTTTAGTTATTATTTGCAGTCAATGCAAAGATTTTGAGTTGCTGATGACTCTCCGCTGAGCTCAATGAAAAACTGAGATAAGAGTCCTCACCTTCATGATGATTCAACATATTCAAACAACAGAAAGTTAACTAACAATACCAGACGATGTAACAGGAGGGGGCCAGAATGATCCAGGATTAACTGTTAGATAAATGGCATGGAGACAGTGCCTGCTTTGGGAATCCATAAAAGAACAAGGCCTGACATGGCACAGACTAGTCAAAACAGACGAAATTTGAACAGGAACTTTTGGATGATTTGCACAATGGAGAAAAATGAGGAGTCTTCCCAGTTGGGAAAATTGTATGGGCAAAGATATAGTAGCAGAAAGAACAATTGTCTCCATGGCAATTAATAAACAAGTTTGCCTTTAGGAGAAGTAGGTTTGAGAAATCAGAGGAAAAGGACAGGTTGGTGTAACATCTTAGAAGGACTTGCATGTCAAAAAAAATTGTTGAAAATAAGCAAAAATTAAGTTATAAAATAGTGGAAGAGAAATACAATATTAATATATGGATACATTTTAAAAATAAACTAGGTTTTTAGGTCAGTGGAACTATATGATATGGTAATGGCAGACAAGATGTTATGCATTTGTCAAAACACATAGAACTTCACAAAAACAAAGAGTAAAACTTAACATAAGGTATGGATTTCATTTAATAATAACGTATCTAAACTGATTAATCATCTGTGACAAATATACTACACCAAGCAAGATGTTAATAATAAAGGAAAATAAGTGGGGGAAGGAGTGAGTGTATATGGAAACTGTCTCTACTACCTGTTTAACTTTCTGTGAGCCTAAAGCTTCTCTAAAAATAAAGCTTATTAATTAAAATATATATATATTTACAGAGGGAAGGCAACACCTAATTATACACGTAACTGCCGAGAACATTGTAGTTATAATTTCCAAAATCTAACCAGAGTCATGTGACCACTCTCTAGCTTCAAAATTATACCTGGCCCACTCCAGATTTTTTCTCCATCAGAGAGGTTTTGCAAACTTTTCATCTACTTTTGAGAACCTCATTGTCTTTTGGACTAAGACCTTGTACTTTACTGCTCATCTTGTTGGCTTTCATGAGTTGCTTTCCTGGTTGAATTACTAAGCGATATGTTGTGTTTTATTTTGGGAGTTGTCAGAATGTGTGGACTTTTCCTGATTTCAATCTTACAGAATGGTCATGTGATTTGATAGATACTTGGAAAAATTTCTTTACTAGAAAAAAAATGAACCTATCACCACCCATTTAGGGCACAGTTTAAATTTATATAAGTAGATAGTAATTTTTTGTGTTAAGTCATTGTTTAATACGATGATGTTTTAAAATGCACCTTCCCTTGAATCTTAAAAATAAGGCATTGTCTAAACCTTGATGAGGGACTTCTATAACAGATTGCTTTCCACATGAACTTTGTTATGCCTTTTTTCTAAAACTGATGTGGTATCGGTGGTAAAGAAGAGAAGAATGGGGAGGGTTTATTAGATTTGTCTTGCTGCAGTAATAAATCACCACAAACTAAATGGTTCAAAACAACACAAATTACTATTTTGAATGTTGAATGTCCAAAGTGAGTCTTGCTACAGGGCTAAAATCTAGGCATTGGCAGGGCTCCATTTCCCCTAGAGGTCCCAGGGAGAACCTGTCACCTTGCTTTTTCTAGCTTATAGAGGCAACTCACATTCCTTGGCTCTTAGCCCCTTCCTCTGTCTTCAGATCACATCACTCCAACCTATGCTTCCATCATCATATTGCCTTGACTCTGATCCACCTGCTCCCCTTTTATAAAGACCCATGTGCTTACATTGGGTGAATTTCCTTAATCCAGGATAATCTACCCATACCATGATCTTTAACCTAATCATATCTGCAAAGTCTTTTTCTAAGTCTCTTCCTGTGGATTAGAATGTGGACATCTTTAGAGATCCATTATTCCACATACCACAGAGGGCTAGATCAGAAGGTGAGTGCAGATGGTTTATCTGACTGAGGAATAGAAAAAGAGCCATGGGTGATAAGGAAGTTAAAAGATAAGGTGAGAATCCTGAAATGGGAAAAATGAAGAACCAAATGTGTATTATTAAAGTCTCGGTACACACTTAACATGGAGGGTTATTTTTTAATGAAATTTATTGTTAAGAATATTCTTGTAGACATACCATTTGAAATTCACAAGATATGGATTTTTGGTAATTCCATTTTGCTTCCCTGGCGATTATAACTAAGGTAGAAATTCATTTTCAATTTTAGCTCATCAGGAAGCTCTACAATTTTTGAAAGATTTGCAGGGGAAAGGACTGGATAAGGTGATTTGACTGTATTATGCAAACGAGACTTTCATTTCCTGTCTGTGTTCAATTTATAAACAGAAAATTTACACATTACTTCAAAAGATTTAATGTAAATATTTTCTTTCATTTTTCCCCAAGAAAGAGATGATTATAATAAACATGATGTAAATAAATTTCTATTCCAAAATATCAGGGTTACCAAGAAGTTGCTATTTTAAGAAGATCGTGGTGTTGTTTTATGTCAATGAATTTGAGTGGAGAGAGAAACCTAGTTTGAATCATGCCTCTACTACTTAGTAGTAACTTAATCTGAGTCTCAGTTTTCTCATCTAACACGTGGGTACACTAATGCCTTCCTCAGTACTGTTTTTCATAATAGATGGGATCACATATGAAAAGCATCTGAGGTATTATAATGGTCATTTTTTATTGAGTGACCCCTAGTGGCTAGGTAAATGGTAATCATATGTTATATAGTAAATATTATGTATCACTCTTTTGTTCTTTGCTCAGAGGATATTACTGAGTATTCAATTTTCTGTAACTCCTCACAAAGTAGATAAATATCTGTACCTGCATAGAGCATACATTCTAGCAGAAAGAGGCAGACAATAAAATAATAAATGAGTATTGGAGCGTGTTAGACAGTGATAAGTACTGTACGAAAAGGAAAACAAATAAAATAAAGAGATTAGGGATGTGTGGGAGCACTGTTTCCCATAATAATTGTTATCAAATGAATTGGGGGTCCCTCTGCTAGCTGATTACAAAATCAATACTCACAAATGGTAGAAAGGAAAGGTGCCTTTAATCAGAATGCCGGCCATCTGGGGAGATGGTGGACTCAGCGTCCCCAAAAAACCACCTCCAAAGATTCTGCTCAGTCATGAAAGTTTTAAAAGGGGAACAGGGAAGTAACCTCAGTTCATCATTGAGATGGGGGTCAGAGTCAACTCCATCCCCCATGGTGTGCAGGCTTGTCGACTCCTCATGATCTTCCTCTAGATGTTATCATGTTCACAGTCTGGACATACCGTGTGTTCACAAGATTACTGAAGGGGAAGCTAGGGAAGAGATATGGTCGTCTGTTAATTATCAATACTTATTCTTCATTTCTACTTCTTTGATCTACAGAAAGAACCCACAAGTTAGGCAAGGTATTGCGTGATTAAAAGATTTGAAATGTGTGCTTGGGCCAGAGATAAGTAGAGCATGGGGAAGCCTGGTTTAAAAGTTAGTTACAATATAGCTTTGCTACAGTGAAGAGAAAAGGGGTTTCCTGCTGAGGGCAGGAAACTGCTGAGGGCAGTTTCCTGCAAAGAGCGCTTACAATTAGAGTGGCAATGGTAAACCTCACTGAGAAATTAAAATTTAAGTAAAACAGTTAAAGGAAGCAAGAAAGTTATCTAAACAGTTCTGTAGGAGAAGAGTGTTTCAGGTAGAGAAAACAGAAAAGCAGAGGTTAGGATGTTGAAGGAGTAGCCTGTAGGCTAAGGCTGGAACATCAGAAGAATTCTAGGTTAGAAAGAAAATGGGGCTAGTGTCTGTCAGAACCTGAAGGCATTGTTATACCACTAGCTTGTACTCTGTGAGATGGGGATAAATATCAGGGGTCTGTTCATAAAGGTAAAATGACCTAACTTCTGTTTTAAATAATTACCTTTCTGCTGTGTTGGAAACACACTCTTAGAAGGCAAGAGTGGAAATTAGATGTGTTGATAGAAATATATGCAGTAATCCTGGTGGAAGTTGATGATGGCTCAGACCAAGACACAAGAAATGGAAGTAAGAAAGAAGTGTTTGGACTCTAAGTCTAGTTTAAAGGTAGAAATGACCATAAAATATGGCCTGTATCAATCTGACTTTCTAAAATAAATAAGCATTGTTTGATGGATATCTTGCAATAAAAGTTCTACTGTCACTTGAAAATGTGAATCTGTATTGATAAGATAGACAACTTTAAAATTTCATATATTTTAATATTATTTATATAATATAAATGCTCTCTGACCTTATAAATTGTGTCTACTTGGTTTGTGTTAAACTAAAGGTTATATATTAAACACTCCACTGTGTGGCCATCTGACTGCTTTCTCCCTGCATTTCAAACAATGTTTGCTTTACACATTTTGATACTCTGTTATATGATGCTAAAAGATTTATGAGTTATATTTTATTTTGTGGTTTCTAGCTCTTATCAATAGAAAATGAACGTCTTTCAATGCTTTAACGAATTCGGCTATCTGCTAAGAACATTTTCATCCCTGTTTTGAGAATTTTGTTTTTCAGTTTCATTTGATTTATTTCCCCATCCTTTGTTTTAACATTTTTTTTATTTTAGGTACAGCAGTGACAAGAAGCACATATATTATTTTGTTTCAAATGTTCATTAGGGGGCTTTCCTGGTGGCGCGGTGGTTGGGAGTCCGCATGCCGATGCAGGGGATGCGGGTTCGTGCCCCGGTCCGGGAGGATCCCACATGCCGCGGAGCGGCTGGGCCCGTGAGCCATGGCCACTGAGCCTGCGCGTCCGGAGCCTGTGCTCCACAGCGGGAGAGACCACAACGGTGATAGGCCCGCATACCACAAAAAAAAAAAAATGTTCATTAGGTGTGCTTCCTTCCTACAAAATATGAGTCATGGAAATGTTTAATACCTGTGCCCATCTGTACTTGGGCTATAAAAAAAAACAAAAGACTAAAAAACTCTACTGTAGTAATTCTACTTTGCAACAAGTGGTCAACCACACCAGGTATGACTAAACAAGATAATTCTTGACACTTCAGAACAGTGTGAAAAGTCAAATTTATCACCTTCCTAAATAAATAGTCTCAGAAAATGGTTGTAGTGTTTACTTTGTTACACTATCCTTCAAAACAAGGGGAATCTTTAAATTTCATCCACATGGATGAAGTATTCTGGTTTAAATTTGGAAGAATATTTCAAGAAACGGCCATAATTAGTACATCTTCTTAGAGGAATCCCACTCTGTCCATATGAATTGTGTGTGTGTTTCTATTTTAAATATAATGAGCTCAGTTGTACTCAGATCACAGATAATGTCTGTTTGGTTTGATTGTCTTGCTATCCTTGATGCATATAATATTGCAATTTCCCATGAGAGAATTATATTTCCTCATCCTGATTAAATCATACTTAGACATGAAATTTGCTTTGGCCAATAAAAATGAATACGTGACATACCCTCCTTCTAAGTAAAAGTTTTAAATTTCACTGCATAGATACAACATTGCATATTGCATGTTTCTACTCTCACCATATTAATCTATACCAGATTAGGGAAGTTCTATTATTTTACATACCAGAATGAAGAAAATATACAGCTAAACCATGATGGATATGTGATGTGAGAAAGAAAGAATTCTATTGTTATATGCCACTGAAATTTTTAAATATAACTTTGGCATAAACTAGTGAAGCCAAGATGGAAATTAGTTCCAGAAGTCCAGTTCCATTGTAACAATAACAAAGTAAAGTATATGCGAGTCTTGTTTCGAGGCCAGGAAATGCATGCTGAAATAAAACTACTGTTAGAGATTGGAAAAAAGGCAACTCACATTAGTGGTGGCAAAATAGTTGGGTATCACTAGCAGTACTGTGGAAACCATTTAATGTACTAAATGATTGTGAATTTTTGGTGAAGAGCCGGAGGAATAATTGACATGACTTGGATGCAGTTGGCTGAATTTGATATTATTTTCCAAGAAATAGAAGACTCAGGAAAAAAACTGACACCTAATTAGTCAAAAACTAAAGGAAACAAGGACTCTGGACTTGTAGATTTGCATGATGCAACTGATTTTTATTTACAACTGCTAAAAGATAAAACTAGGAATGCCTTTAAGCAACAAAGTATTATTAAAAACCAGCTTTATCTAAAGGATCAAATCAAGGGTATTGCAGGCACAACTATTGTTAAAATGTCTGAATTGATTAAAATGTGAAAAAAAAATATATCCCTCAGAGAAGAAATCTAAGATGTGTCTCTGCCATGGAATCTTGATGTGTTCAATGTACCTGTAACTAAACCTAAAGTGAGAGGCTTATCTGGAAAATAACTATCAGTAAAATGGTAGTCACAGAACTAGCTGGAGGTGAATGCAGTAGACAGAAAATCAAATAAGGTTTGGAGAGAATTGTACTGCTCAATGAACCACAAGTCTGAATCAAAAGATACAGTAGCAGTTTAAGACATCAATTTATTTTTATCAACTTTCTCATGGGGAAAAGCAGACTGAGAAAGCCCTCTTACAGTTGGCCAAGAAGGAAACAGAAAAAGAAGGTCCTCAGAGAGAGTACAGCCAAGAGCCATGAAGTACAATGGTCTGGAGAGAAGATCTGAGACTTAATCAAGACACATGATCCATTCTGGTACCCCTTAGCTTCTCTTTCTCAAGATTTCATAGATATCAATACTATGGACCAGTGATTTCCATGTGGTCCTCTTTCATTACTTTTATTTCTTATCTTTTTAATAAATTTATTTATTTTATTCATTTATTTTTGGCTGTGTTGGGTCTTCGTTGCTTAGTCATATGCCTTTCTTTGGGCTCATGAGTATGATCAGTAGAGACACATTCCTCTTGCCAGCAGAAACTTTAAAAAGCCATTCTGCTGTATCTTGTGCCATTATAATAGTAATTTCCAGAGACGGGTTGTTTCATTACCCAGGGTTTCAAAACAAAGACAACGATGATGGAGATGGGACCTGAGAAGTAAATAAACTTTTGTTTTTGCAAGCCAGTGAAATTTGGGGGCTTTTGGTACCAAAGCATAATCAAGTGAAAGCTGACCAAGACAAATCCAACACCAATTCTAATTCATTTGACCCGTCCCAGGTGAAAATAAATTTAAGAAAATGTCTTTGTGATTACTACTCAGCAATGGTTCTAATGAGATACATTTATTTCCATTATATTCTGGAAAACAAAGAAATTAATGAAATGAAAAAATGCTAAACCAAACAATTACAGAGCTAAAATCCCAAACTGCATGTTACAGATAAGTACTGCTTTTCCCAACTCACTGACTATTTAATTGATAGGTAAGATTTGAGTAGGTTCCTAGGCCAATGGAAATGGGGACACTGTCTATGTAAATAGTGGAATATCTCAGGGGACATGGAACTGGAGGAAAAGTCATACACTGACAATGATGTCATATTTGACTGTGACCAGCTTCTTAGTTGAGAGAGAATGACAGAGGAGATCCCTGATGTAGAAAGGAATACTGATGGTCAGAATGAAATACAGAGACTCTGGAATTTAATATCACAGTAGAAAAAGTAACACCAGAATAAATACAGTGGATAGAATATGGAGAGACATAGAGGAAATGAAAAATATGAAATATATAAAATTAATATTAGAGAAATAAAAGATACAAAAGACAGCAAACAGATTTAAAATACTTACAATCATGTTTTTGATTAAAAGAACAAAGATAATTGAGAAAAAAATATATCTAATTAAATAATTTCTAAATGAGCAATTCTGTTTATGGCTTCAAGTGACATTCTGTGTGTCAAAGAAAAACATGGTTTCAGAAGAATGAGCAATGAAACGTTGAAGTCACTGAATTCCAAACATAGAGGGATTCCAGGAGTAAAAGCAATTCAGAAGGAAAATAAGTAAGTCTGCTCTTGGATATCCATGCAGAAGCAGTCTATGTTTATGGCGTAAACTGTGTTGATGGTTTCACAGTGTAGACTGGTCTTCAAACTCATCAGGTTGTATACATTAAATATGTATAGCTTTTGGTATGTCAATCATACCTCAATAAATTCGTTTAAAAAAATAATACAGTGGAACAATTTCTACAAGGTTCTGAGGAAAAGTAAGCAACTGATTCTCTAATAGTATGTCCAAGTAAGTTGTCATTTTAATATGCAGTTCACAGACAAACATGTATAATCATTTAAAATTTCAAGAAACTATACCAAAGTACCCTTATTTGAGAAAAAAATAAAGTGAAAACTCAATCCAGCTATGAAATGAGTCCAAATTAATAACTTGAAAATAAAGAACACTATTAAAAAGTTTGGTGGTGAGTGTTTACTTCCATTAAATGAATAATGAGTACTATTACCTGGTAGATTATAAAATGTAGATCAGAATGTACAAATGGATAAATTTTAACAATGTAAAAATAATAGTTTAAATAACAAAAATCTGGATATAAAGTGAGGGAAGACAGAGGTATTACCTGTGTGCTAATTTCTTTGCCTAATAACAAAGAATCAGTGGATACTCAATACTGATAAAACATGTTCTTTAAAATTAGCATGAATTTTAAAATATTTATATCATTTTTTGAAGACTATTTTTACATGACTATGCCTTGAAATAAAGAAATATCTATCTGTATTCAGTTTTTTATTTAATTAATTTAAATAAGATTAAATAAAATTAATTTAAATAAGATTAAATGTATGCATTATTTAGATGACACACATACTATAATCCTGGCTTTTAACTACATACTCTCTCTCCTTAAAATTTAAAGTTCTCTCCCTGCCTCTTTTCTCTCCTTTTACACACTTTTTCTCGTCTCTGCCCTCTATTTATAGATATAAGAGATATCTGGAATAAAGTTCATAAAATGTATGAAATAATTATTTCTGAAGTAGTAAGTTGGGTCATCCTTTTTCCTTCCTTTACTTTTCTGTATTTCATGACCTTCTGCTTTTCTTTTTCTCAGTTTTAATAAATATGTATCATTTAAAAATTACATTATACTTCTAAAATGAATTCACTGCTTTTGTAAGATGTAAAGCAGCAAGATTCTTCACAACACCTCAGGACTGTATGCTCACCAAGTCCCTTGTCCTGGGTGACCTTCCAGTTAACTGTGGTTCATTCAGGCCCCCTTGGGACCTCACATTCTCTATCTGTACAGCATATGGCTTGAACGAGGTGATTTCTGAACTACCTTAAGGCTATGTGCTCTGTGTTTCTAACTAGATCCCCAGGGACTCAGAGAATTAAATCGTGGTTGAAATAATAAATAGAAAATGTACTTTGAAAATTATGGAAGAAAAAAGTGAAGCTTAAATAACATTTTATGGCCACATTCCAAAATTTATATTATTCTATTGATTGAGAGAACATATGAATTGCACTTTAATCAATGTCCAGTGAATATTAAATTGACCTTGGATTCATGGCTAGTGTTGAAATGCAGGTCTTCATCAATTTAATTCAACAAGCAGTGAAGAGCCAAAGGGAGAAGCTCTAATTTTGTCTCAAGGCTTGAATTTATTTTATTTTCAGTAAAAACAATTTTTGAAGTAAGATGATGGTTTTCCTCTGAATTGTTTCATTAAAATTTGATCACAGAGAAGAATGTTTCTATTTAACTCCAGAAAATGTAATTCTGGCTTCCACTCACAGAGAGAAGTTTTCCACAGTGTTGTTCATAGTTGTGAAGAGCACTAGGATGAATTATGTTTCCTTGTGAAGTACTATTCCAAAAACACTACCATCAGGAACAATACAATCTATTTGTCAAATTTATTTGTCTTAGAAAAACTACCTACTTGTGGTAAATTATGGTCCATTTATAATATCTGCTTGCATGCCAATTCTTGTGCATGTTCTTAAATATCTGGTTGCAATAAACAGTAGCTGTGCTCAGTGGAGGACCCTTCACCAGTTAGGAAATGTAACTTACTAACTACTCTTTCTTGTCCATTAAATATTTAAGTTCTCCTACTGTAAAAATGGAGGCACAAAAAGGCACAACTTCCTTGCTGATTGTATGTGTAAGACACAATTTGGCCATGTTTGGTATTCAGTTCAGCAACAAAAAGAGTCTAATCTGTTAAATCTCAATGATTTTTTTAAAGCAGACATTCTTTTAAAATTTCAAAGGATTCTCAATCCAATTTTATGTACATTATCATTTCTACCAACAAACCATCATGGAGATTAAAATTACTGCTGTTTAAAAAGAGCAAAGACAATTTTACTGTTGTCTATTATCAGTAAAAATCCATACTTCTCCCCGAAATATATCTCACAGAGACTAGCAACAAATTAGTGTATTTAAAAAAGTAAATTAAAAAAATAAAATAGTAAGCCTCTTAGACAGCCTCATCCTCCAGAGGGCAGACAACAGAAGCAAGAAGAAATACAATCCTGCAGCCTGTGGAACAAAAACCACATTCACAGGAAGATATACAAAATGAAAAGGCAGAGGACTATGTACCAGATAAAGGAACAAGATAAAACCCCAGAAAAACAACCAAATGAACTGGAGATAGGAAACCTTCCAGAAAAAGAATTAAGAATAATGATAATGAGGATTATCCAGGACCTCGGAAAAAGAATGGAGGCAAAGATCGAGAAGATGCAGGAAATGTTTAACAAAGACCTAGAAGAATTAAAGAACAAACAGCTAGAATAATTAAAGAACAAACAAACAGAGATAAACAATACAACAATACAATACAATAACTGAAATGAAAAATACACTAAAAAGAATCAATAGCAGAACAACTGAGGCAGAAGAATAGATAAGTGACCTGGAAGACAGAATGGTGGAATTCACTGCCTCAGAAGAGAATAAAGAAAAAAAAATGAAAAAGAAAAAAAAAATGAAGACAGCCTAAGAGACCTCTGGGACACCATACACAAAAATAAACTGAAAATGGATTAAAGACCTATATGTAAGACCAGACACTATAAAACTCTTAGAGGAAAACATAGGAAGAACATTCTTTGAGATAAATCACAGCAAGACCTTTTTTGACCCACTTCCCAGAGAAATGGAAATAAAAACAAAAATAAACAAATGGGGCCTAATGGAACTGAAAAGCTTTTGCACAGCAAAGGAAACTGCAAATAAGATGAAAAGACAACCCTCAGTATGGGAGGAAATATTTGCAAACAAATCAACAGACAAATGATTAATCTCCAAAATATAAAAACAGCTCATGCAGCTCAATATTAAAAAAAAAAAAAACAACAAAGAACCCAATGAAAAAATGGGCAGAAGACCTAAACAGACACTTCTCCAAAGAAGACATACAGATGGCCACTGAACACATGAAAAGCTGCTCAACATCACTAATCATTAGAGAAATGCAAATCAAATCTACAATGAGGTATAAGCTCCCACCAGTCAGAATGGCCATCATCAAAAAAATCTACAAACAATAAATG